AGTTGATTTCATTTTCTTTTTCAAAAAAGATTTTCTTAAGATTTTATTTTTTATTTATTTGAAAAGCAAAGTTACATAGTGAGGAAAGGGAGAGAGAGATAATCTTCCATCTATCATTCACTCCCCAAATGGCCCCAGTGGCTGGGGCTGTGCCAGGCTGAAGCCAGGAGCCTGGAGCTTCTTCCCAGTCTGCCACATGGATATAAGAGCCCAAGCACTTGGGCATCTTCTGCTGCTTTCCCAGGTACATTAGCAGGGAGCTGGGTCCTAAGTAGAGCAGCTGGGTCTCGAACCAGCTGCCATATGGGATGCCCAGTGGCAGCAGCACAGATGGAGGCCTAACCTGCTACATCATAATGCCAGCCCTCTAAAAATACATCTTTTAAGAGAGAGACAAAGAGAGGTCCCATCTGCTGGTTCACTCCTCAGATGCCCATAATGTCCAGGGCCAGGCTGGACCAGGCCAAAGCTGACACACTTCATGTCTACCATGTGGGCATCAGGGACCTAGCTGTTTGAACCATCATTTGCTTTCTCCTATGGTCCACATCAGCAGGAAGCTGGAATAAAGAACCAAGGCTCAAACCAAGGGACTCCATTATGGGATAAGAATATCTTAAATGTGGGGCTGGAGCTGTGGCACAGCAGGTTAACACCCTGGCCTGAAGTGCCAGCATCCCATATGGGCGCTTCAAACCGGGTTTGAGACCCGGTTGCTCCACTTCCGATCCAGCTCTCTGCTATGGCCTGGGAAAGCAGTAAAAGATGGCCCAAGTCCTTGGGCCCCTGCACCCACGTGGGAAACCCAGAAGAAGCTCCTGGCTCCTGGCTTCGGATCAGCACAGCTCCGGCCGTTGTAGCCAATTGGGGAGTGAACCAACGGATGGAAGACCTCCCCCTCTCCCTCCCTCCCTTTCTCCCTCCCTCTCTCTCTCTCTGCTTCTCCTGCTCTCTGTGTAACTCTGACTTTCAAATAAATAAATAAATCTTTTAAAAAAAGAGAATATCTTAAATTGCTTCTAAACTCCTAGGCCAAACACCTGCTTTCATTTTGTTTTTTAATTTCTCTTTTTGGGGCCATTGTGGCACAGTGGGTTAAGTCACCACTTAGAACACCAGCATCTCATGTCAAAGCACCAGCTGGAGACCTGCTGATCCATTTCCTATCCAACTCCCTGCCAATGTCCCTGGGAAAGCAATAGAAGATGACACAAGTTTGTGGGCCTCTGCCACCAACATGGGCAACCTAGATTAAGTTATGGAGTTCCTGGCTCCTGGCTTCAGCTTGACCCAACCTGCATAATGCAGCCATTTGGGAGTGAACCTACAGTAGAGGATATCTCTCTCTCTCTCTCTTCCTCTCTCTCACACACCCCCATCCTGTCTCTCAAAAAGCAAGTATTTGTTGGATGGGATGAGTATGAGTGTGTGCTAAAATAATTAGATATAGTTAAATAGAGAAAAATCTCATTAGACTCACGTAAACTGTACAAAAATACCAAGTGTGCCTAACCTGGGCCCCTTTTTGCTATTGTGTGATAAAGCTACTACTTTATTTTAAAAAGCATTCTGACCTGAATACAAGCCAGAGATGTGATATTACTTCCCACATACCATTCAGTCTTGTTCACAGGCTGACTGGTATCTGGTTACGAGCTCATTTTTTGAAGCTTCTGTATAGTTCATTTCTAGATTTGTCACAGGGCTTCCAACCATCCATATTTATATTCCAAATTATATTTCTTGCCAGGACCTTGTCTAAGCACTCAATAAATAAAAAACAGAAACTACTTTAATATAACCCCATGCCATCTTGGGAAGCAATTTTCAAAGCCAGTTTTCTGTGTGTTCACCTCATCTACTCAGTTGTCTTAGTTGCTCTTGGACTCTAGCATTATACCTATGCTTTTGGTGGTCAAGCTCAGGCTCTTAGTGAGGATAAGCTGTTCTAGTTTTGATCTGGATCTTCTATGCTCTGGAATCAGTAGCAGAGTGTTGAGTAACAGACTAGCAAGTGTACTGAACAGCCCAACTAGGGGTGGCCTTCTTCAGCTTTTCAATGACTCCAGAAATTAAAGTTTTATATTCTTCATGTGGTTCCTATTATTGTTTTAAGAATTGTTTATTTCAAAGGTAGAGATACAGAAAGAAAGAGATCTTCCATCCACTGGTTCATACTCCAGATGGCCTCAACGGTCAAGGATGGACCAGGCTGAACCCAGGGACAAGGAACTCTGTTCAGGTCTCTCACTTGGGTGGCAAGAGCCCGAGTACTTGAGCCACCTTCTGCTTTCTCAGACACATTAGCAGGGAGCTGAATCAGAAGCAGAGCAACCGGAACTCAAACCAGTGCTCTGATACGGGGTGCTTGGTGTCAGAAGTGGCAGTTTAAACTGCTGTGGCACAGCACAGGCCCTTCGTGTTTTTAAAGATTTATTATTTATTTGAGAGGCAGAGTTACAGAGAGAGGGGTCTTCCATCCACTGGTTCACTCCTCAAATGGCCACAATGGCTGGAGCAGGCTGATCCAAAGCCAGGAACCAGGAGCTTCTTCCAAGTCTCCCATGTGGGTGCAGGGACCTAAGTACTTGGACCATGTTCCATTGCTTTCCTAGGCCATTAGCAGAGAGCTGGATCAGAAGAGGAGTATCCAGGGCATGAACCAGCACCATATGGGATGCAGGCACTGCATGAGAAGGCTTAACCTACTCTGCTACAATGCTGGCCCCATTATCAGCATTTTAAGATGAAGAAATTAGGGGCCAGCATTATGGCATAGCGGGCTAAGCTGCCACCTGTAACACTAGCATCCAATATGGCTGCTGGTTCAAATCCCAACAGTTCCACTTCTGACCCAGCTCCCTGCTAATGCATCTGGTAAAGCAGTGGAAGATGGCCCAAGTCCCTGGGCCCCTGCCACTCACATAGGAGACCCGAAGAAGCTCTTGGCTCTTGGCTTCAGCCTGACCCCACACTGGTTGTTGTGGCCAGTTGGGAATGAATGAGCAGATGGAAAATACCTCTCTCTCAGTCTTTCCTTCTTTCTCTATGTAATTCTGCCTTTCAAATAAGTAAATAAATATTTAAAAAAATAAAGAACTACCCTTTTGTTGGTTGTTGACATTCCTATTAACTACATTTCAGCATGCTAGTTTAGTGCATAGTTACCAAGCATAGTTTTATTTATTTAATTTTTTAGAAAGATACTTTATATTTTTAAAGATTTATTTATTTATTTGAAAGAGTTACACAGAGAGAGAAAGAGATGGATGGGCAGAGAGAGAGGTCTTCCATCTGCTGGCTCACCCCCCAATTGGCCTCAACGGCTAGAGCTGCACCTGTCTGAAGCCAGGAGCTTCCTCTGGGTTTTCCCACGTGGGTGCAGGGGCCCAGGACCTGGGCCATCTTCTACTGCTTTCCCAGGCCACAACAGAGAGTTGGATCAGAAGTGGAGCAGCCAGGACTCGAACCGGCACCCATATGGGATGCTGGCACTGCAGGCGGCGACTTAACCCACCATGCCACAGTGCCAGCCCCACATAGTTTTATTTAAGTTGTGGCTGGTTTCTCTAACTTGATCACAAGTGATCAATAATTACTTTTTAAATTCCCTTATCCTTTTACATTATTGTATTCTCATGTTAAGTGAATCTCATGTTAAGTGAAACCTCAGAATTAAGCAAATCAATCATTCTAAAGTCTTCAATTGCCAGCAGTGGTTCTTGGTTTTAGAAATAACCCTTGGAGGGACTGGCATTATGGACCAGCATTGTATATGAGTTCAGTTCGAGTCTTAATGCACCTGAGAAAGCTCCAGAAGATGGTCCAGATGCTTGAGCCCTGCCACCCCCATGGGAGACCCAGATAGAATTTTAGCCTCTGTCTTTGGTTTGGCCCAGCTATAGCCGTTGCAGCCATTTGGGAGTAAACCAATGGATGGAAGATCTATCTCTCGCTCTATTTATTTGAAAGGCAGTTACAGAGAAAGATAGAAGAAAATTGATTGATCTGTCTTCTGTCTGCTGGTTCACTCCCCAAATGGCTGCAACATCTGGGACTGGGCCAGGCTGAAGCCAGGGACCAGGAGCTTCTTTTGTGTCTCCCACACAAGTGCAGGAGTTCAAGGACTTGGGCCCTCCTCTGCTGCTTTCCCAGGCCATTAGCAGGAAGGTGGATCAGAAGTGGAGCAGCCAAAACTCAAACTGGAGCCCGTATGGGATGCTGCCACTGCAGGCAGAGGCTTAACCTTCTGTACCAGAGTGCAGGCCCCATAAATAAATCTTAAATAATAATAATAATCCCTGGGGCCCAGTGTTGTACTACAGTGGGTTAAGCAACTGCCTAAAATGCCAGGATCCCATTTGCACCAGTTCAAGTTCCAGCTTCTGATCCAGTTCCCTGCTATGTGCCTGGAAAAATAGTAGAAGATGGCCCAAGTACTTCGGCCTGCGCCATCTATGTGGAAGACACAGATGTAGTTTCAGACTTGTGACTCCAGCCTGGGCCAGCTCTGGCCATTGTAGCCTTTTGGGGAATGAACCAGCTAATGGAAGATCTCTTTCTCTGTCTTTCCCTCTAGCTCTGTAATTCTGCTTTTCAAAAATTAGTAAAACCTTAAAGAGAGAGAGGAGAAAGCAAAACAGAGAAAGAATGAATCAGTCCTTAGAGTTGTGTTGGATGCTGTACCATGGGTTTATACCTGCTAAATATAAGCCAGCAGTAATTGTCTAGAATTTTTAGGTAGTGGCTATTTGCAAGGCAGCAATACAGGGAGCTCAGTCAGTAAGTTCTGTTTGGTAAATGCCTAAGGAACTGACTGACCATCTCTTTAAAACAGCTCTTGACAATGTGGATAGGATTGATTGTCATATGATAGAAATTTCTCCACTGTAATACTTATGCCAGAATTCAGAGCTTTATCCTTAGCGTTGCAAGAGTTAATAAAAGACTACTTCCAGGTGAAACTGGAGGTAACTTATGGATAATTTCTTGTCTTGCAGTAGCACTTGTACCATGGGCTTAGTCCTTCCTCTCTGGAGTGACACCCTAATTCATTTGGATGGTGATGGGTAAGTTTTCTCTTTTTATTCTCCTACATAAAGCCAAGGCATGAGGTTCCATCTTAGTGCCCGTTCATTCAGCTGAATGGGAAGCCCATTGTGTCCAACTCAGCTGTCATGTCAGCAGCTCAATGACTCCTTTAAAACTCTGTTTTGTAAAGTGGAGTAAAAAATAAGCTTGCCAGTGTCTCTCACTTCTGTTCTTTTAGACCTACTGTGGTAGAAATCTAAACAAAGAAGAACTAGTTTGTTGGCTCACTCTTTAAGCATGTGTGGCTGTTGCAATGCTCTCCCAGAGGATGATATGTTCTGTTTCAAATAACCTCTTGCTGCCTTTGCCAGCTGTCAGCCTACAGTATAACCCCTTTCCTGTGCCAGTTCCTTCCAGTGTCCCCCACCCCCACCCCCACCTCCTGGTGTTTTTAGAATGTATCCCCAAGAGGCTAAGATGTTTGCTCCAGTTTATAAAAACCAGTGTCAGGTTTGCTAAGAACTCACAAGACTTCCAAATAGAAACATACAGAACAGTTTGTTCATAGCTACAGCTGGGAAACTGTATGTAGTTCCCTAACCCCACATGGTGTTTCATTTGTTTTGCCTAGCAGATAAAATCAGACAATTTGTTGAAGCTTTTTAGTCAGTTTGTATACTCTGGTCCTACTTGAAGTGTCTGATGATTTCCTTCTACTGAGCCAGCTGTTGCTAGCCTGGAAAGCAACCTTCTCAGACTGAAATAACCTACTCTCATGTGTGGATCTTTGTCTTGTTCTCTTTTCTCTTTAGTGGGTTCAGCGTATCAACAGATAACAGAGTTCACATATTCAAACCTGTGTCTGTACAGGCAATGTGGTAAGGTGAATTTTAATATCTCTACAAGTAAAGATTTTTGATATGTTGTTGACGCATTATTTTCTGAAAAGTAGTATTTGAAATGGTACAATTTGGTATATGAGAAGACTGTATGTGATCTGTTTGTGTTTATAGGATTTTGTATGATCTGTTTGTGTAGTCATAATAAAAACGTAGAATTTGAGTGTTGATGAACAAGTGAAAATCAGAAGTATCTTTGGCTCTGGAAGAGACTTCATGGATCCCATAGCCATTTGGGACTGAGTTTTACAGAAAGTCATTGACTAAGTTAGTTACTTAGCCTCAGAACCAAGTCTAGAACATCACACTGCTATGTATGGTCTCTCTCAGTTTCTTAAGGTGATCAAGGGTACCACTGACTATCAGATAGATATCCGTTGAAATTGCTGGTGATTATTTGCATAATACAAATAAAGCTTAGAGAAAACCTTATAGTTGTTAATAATTATCAGCTGTTGTGCTGACACTTTTGGATTATTTATGCCAGGTACTTTACCTAGATTATATTTAATCATCAACCACTAAAAATAATGTGATTAGCCCCTTATTATAGTTGAGAGAACTGAGGCCTTAGAGAACTTATGTAAATGCCCTGAGAGTGTCTCTTACATTTGGACAGAATAGATTCTTACTTTCTTGTTTGAAATTATCTAGAAAATGATCTAATATAACTGGAAAATCATGTGACTCCTTGGAGTCCATTGCCTAATCGGGTATTTAAATTTCAGTCTCTTAATTCAGCTGCCTGTGCTATAGCAAAGAAGTCCCCATGAGGAGTGGAATGGACAGGAGGTAACCAAAACAAGAAATAAAGAAGCCTGGAAAAGACTCCAGGGAGATAATCTACCCCTGAATAACAGAATTCACAGGGTTGAAGTGGATGGAGTCCTAAGAGTCACTGAACAATTAACAGTTTTATCATTTAGTGCAGTTATTGAGGTGGCACAGAGTTTCAGATTAGGGCATGTTTCACAAATGAATTTCTCATGGAAAACTTAAGACCTCCTTTATTATTTAACTAAGGTTCAGTTAAATTTAACTGTGTTTCCAGAAACAAAGCAAAAGCATACAGCAGTAAGTACAATACCATAAATTACTGTTTTCAGGTATATTTTGTAGAGCAGGACAAAGCAGTCTTAATTTAAGTAATAACTTTAGATCGAGTTTTCATGTTCTAAATCAGACTGAATAGTCCTATCTCTGTTAGCTCATTGCACAATAAACGTTTTCTGTGTACCACATGGAGAATAGTGAACTGAAAGTAATAGAAAAAAAAAAATAGATGCTCTGTGCATCAAAGCAGCGTTTAGACCAGGTGTTTCCTTGACAGGAAGGTAGCTGCTGCAGCCTCACACTCCTATACACAGCTGAAATATCTGAGGTGGCCTTGAGTGTGCTCCAGGGCCAGTTACAAAAGACTCTGTGGCTTATGCTTTTGAAGCGTGTATTTTTTGAACCATGTATTTCCTGGAAAGGAAACATGTGTTGCATTACACTGAGCTGGCACTTACCTTTGAATCTGGGTAATCCAACTGAAATTATATGAAAATTTGGCTTACTTTGAATGATAGCTTTTTTTAAAAAACTTTTATTTAATGAATATAAGTTTCCAAAGTACAGCTTATGGATTACAATGTCTTCCCCCCCTAACTTCCCTCCCACCCACAACCCTCCCCTTTCCCGCTTCCTCTCCCCTTCCATGAATGATAGCATTTTTAAAAGGTTCTGCAACCTTGTTTTTAAGGGAAAAATTGTTTCCCTAATAAAAATGGACTGGCATGTTACTCTCCTATTAATTTGGCTTTTAAAAGTTTTCTCTTAGCTTACCTAATATGGAGTTGACAAGAATCAAGAAACAGACACTGTCATTTACTTTTGGTGGTAAAAGAATAATCTGGAGTAACCTTTCTGGAGAGTGATTTGCCAGTATGCCATTGTCATTTGGCATACTCTTTGACCTAGTAATTCTAATAAGAATTTACTCTAAATTAATAACCATAGATGTATAAAAAGATTTTTAGCTATAAGAATGTTTTTCAGTGTTCCAGGAATAGCAGAAAAGTAGAAAACAATTTAAATGTCTGAAAAATATTATAATTAAAATATGATACATCTAAGTTAGTTGCATCTATGTTAATAAATATGCAAATTATCTAGTTGAATATATATATTTTAATGATTTTATTTTCTTTGAAAGAGTTAGAGAGAGGTAGAGCCAGAGAGAAAGAGGTCTTCCATTCTGCTGGTTCACTCCCCAAATGACTGCAATGGCCAGAGCTGAGCTGATCCGAAGCCAGGAGCCTCTTCCAGGTCTCCAGTATGGGTTCAGGGGCCCAAGGACTTGGACCATCTTTTACTGCTTTCCCAGGCCATAGCAGAGAGCTGGATCGGAAGAGGTGCAGCTGGGACTTAAACTGGCACCCATATGGGATGACGGCACTGCAGGCTGGGGCTTTAACCCACTGCTCCACAGCGCCGGCCCCTGAATGTATATTGACGTAGAATGATGTTGATGCCAAGTTGAAAAGTAAAAGAACAACTTATAAATGGTATACAGAATATATTCATTTTTTTAAATATGTCTCTGTGCATAGACAAAAAGACTGAAAAGTTCTACACTGAAACTTTAATATTGTTTGGTTCTGGAATTTACAGGATTTTGGGGGGCGGGGGGATTATAGGATATTTCTTTTTATCTGAAGTTCCTACATTTTTTGAAGTGAACATGGACCACTTTTATTATGAGGGAAAAGAGATTTAAAAAGCATTTCTAAGAAAAAGGTATCAGGGGCCAGTGCTTTGGCTTAGTGAGTAAAGCTACCGTCTGCAGTACCAGCATCCCATATGGGCGCTGGTTCAAGTCCCACTGCTGCACTTCCAATCCAGCTCTGTGCTATAGCCTGGGAAGACAGTAGAAGATGGTCCAAAGTCCTTGGACCCCTGCATCCATGTGGGAGACCCAGAAGAAGCTCCTGGCTCCTGGCTCCTGGCTTTGAATCAGCCCAGCTCCGGCTGTTGTGGCCATTTGGGGAGTCCACCAGATGGAAGACTTTTCTGTCTTTGCCTCTGCTTTTTTGTAACTCTGCCTTTCAAATAAATTAATTAATTAAAAAAAAAGGGGGGGAGAAGAAAAAGGTACCAGTGGATTACCCATAACTCATACTGTCTTTTTCCCTTGGGAAAGAAACATTTGTGGATAATTAATAAAGCATTTGATTCACAAACACTAAGTGAGCTCTAAGAAGTAGTTATTCTTTTAGGCCATTGAGATCCAGTAGTAAACCAACTATATAGAGAGGTCCTTGTCTTGTATAACTTACTTCCTAATGTTTCTGGCTTAAGCCTTTCCCTAGTATATAACCAAAAAGGTATCAGTTCAGAATCACAAAGTTTAATTATCTCAGAATAACCACAGCAGTTTTTAGAATGTAGCTCACATGTATGAATCAGTGGTTTATAGAGACTAGGAAACAAAGGCAGCAAGAATATTCAGTGACGTTAGATCAGTATTTCCTGGACATTAGACATGGACTCAATGCCTAGGGATGTCTAGCTCTGTGACCTTTGTGGAACTTCTAAGAATCACAAAAAATATATAGTTTAATAGGATTCTGTGCCAAGGGAAATAAATTTTCATATAGTAAATTGTTGAAATCTTCACTCTACTGTGATAGAACACAGCTACAGCTGTAAGATCATGAGTGCAGTAGATTCCTAGATCTATTTTTCACTGGTGAGTTGCCATTTCTTCTTCCCCCTGACCCCTTAGTTTAATGACGTGCTCTATATGTCTAGTCTTTGCTATGGCTGGATAATATGGTATAATCGGAATTGAACAATCTTGAATTTCAGGGAGCAGATTTTTCCAGAGGCTAAATTCTACAAAATTTAAAAGTTGGAGTTTGGGGTAATACGTGAGTTATTGGCCTTTTGGTACCCCAAGGTTCTACAGTGCTCGTGTATTTCAGGTCCGCACTACAGAGTTTACACAAAGCTTGTGAAGTGGCCAGAATGCATAACTACTACCCAGGGAGCCTATTTCTCACTTGGGTGAGTTATTATGAGAGCCATATCAACTCAGATCAGTCCTCAGTCAATGAATGGAATGCTATGCAGGATGTGCAGTCTCACCGACCCGACTCTCCAGCTCTCTTCACAGACATGTAAGTCAGTTTACTGAGGATTATGGTTGTCCTCTCTGTTGTTCCCTGGGGTTCATGGGTAGCATATTGCTCCCTGATCTTTTCTCTGGCAATTAACCTTATCCAGTGATATGTCGCTGTCTTTACCATACTTCTTCCACATGTCATTTCTGTTGCCTACAAAGGTCTTAAATCTTATCAGTAAGTCAAAGGACTTTGACTTCCTGGCACAATGGAGCCTCCATAGTCAAGAACAACAATATCAAAATTTTGCTTTTCCGAGTCTACAAATTTGAGTTTAAAAGAACTAAAGTTTGAATTTGTATTATCTGTGGAAGAAGCATTTGCTAAAGAGTTTAATGACATAAAGAAGCTTTAAGGGGGCCAACCTGCAGCGCCAGCATCCCGTATGGACTCCTCCACTTCCCATTCAGCTCCCTGCTGATGTGTCTGGGAAAATAGCGCTAAAACTGGCCCAAGGCCTTGGGCCCCTGCACCCACGTGGGAGACCTGGAAGAAGCTCCTGGCTCCTGGCCTCAGATCGGCTGAGCTCAGCTCATCTCTGGCAGTTGGAGCCATTTGGGAAGTGAACCAGTGAATGCAAGACATCTCTGTCTCTACCTCTCACTCTTAACTCTGTCTTAAGTAAATAAATGTTTTAAAAAAGCTTTTAGAAGGAGATGTGTAATGCTTAAGAAAATAAGAGTATTTTCAGTCATTTTAAAAGAATGCCTAGGTTGTTAAGCTACTTTTAAACTGATTTTATCATTCAAATATATCATTTAATTTCTTACTCTGCTGCCTGCCCCTTGCCTTAAATCTTATCAGTAAGATTTATTTTTGTCTCCTTGAATAAAGTATAAGGTAGAGCTGATTTTCATTTCCTTTTTAGGTTTATGTATTGATAAATCTGTGACTATTTTGGAAATTTTTTGCACTTAATTACTGCTTTGAAATTAATCAAGATGTTTATTTTCCTCTGAATTTATCTTTCTCTACTCCCAAGGTATTCTACAGCTAGGAAAGAAAAGTAACCCCTTACTCTGACCTTAGCAACAGAATTTGCCTTCAGATTCCTAAAGTCATGCCAAAGCAATTCATGATTTTTTTAAGACTTCATTTATATAATGGTAGTCTAAGAAACAATCAAAAAAGCAGTAGAATTTTTTTTTTTTTGCACACAGTGTTACTGATGTTAGAACCGCCTTTTCAGCAGCCCTGGTCCTTTAACGGAGCAGGTATTTAACCTCGCTCAGAATACCTGGGTTCAATTCCCAGGTCTCAGTCCTGACTCAAGCTTCCTGCCAGTGTATACTCTGGGAGGCGGTAGTAATGACAGAAAACCATTAGGTTCTTGTCATCCATATGGGAGACTTGGAGTGGGTATTTGGGTGGTAAACCAGTGAATAATAGATCAATCTGTTTCTGTCTCCCAAATAAATTATTTTTAAAAATAAGATCCCTTAATAGCTCAAAATGATAAAGATTTGTTGGAAATGTTATTCAGAATTTTATGCTTTGAAGTTGGTAATGGGTTTCAGACAAATGGATGTCTCAGCTTTCAGAACACATCCTAAACCAGACTTACATGAGAGACAAAAACACTTTGTCCTGTTTCTCCTAATTTAGTTAACAAATATTTAGAAACTAACACAAAGAAAAAAATTGCTCATGTATCTACATTCCTAAGCAAAAAAAAAAAAAAAAAAAAACTTAAAAAGGGGGCCCCTGGCACATGATAGAAAAAGAGGTTCCTTAAATGTTAGTTCTTAGTATGTACAGTATAACCCCAAATTTAAGATAGATTTAATAAATATCTGTTCATAGAAAAAGAATACATGTAAGCTGTAGGCCAGAGTATTATAATTATCTCTGGGTAGAGGAATTTTTGGTATTTTCTTTCTCTTAGTATTATTACATGTGTTTTCCAAATTTTTCTCCAGTGAGATTGACAAACTGTATGTTGTAATGCTTTTTCCATTCCTTCCTCTTCCCTAATTTGACTAGAAAAACCTAGAAAAGAGTGCTGAGAAAACACGGAGAATGTTTTTGTTTGTTTGTTTTTTAAGATTTATTTATTTATTTGAAAGACAGAGTTACAGAGAGGCATAGAGAGAGAGAGAGGTCTTCCATTTGCTGGTTCACTCCCCAGATGGCTGCAACAGCTGGAGCTGGGCCAATCCAAAGCCAGGAGCCAGGAATTTCTTCCAGGTTTCCCACATGGGTACAGGGGCCCAAGGACTTGGGCCATTTTCTGCTGCTTTCCCAGGCCATAGCAAAGACCTGCATCAGAAGTAGAGCACCCAGGACTCAAACTGGTGTCCATGTGGGGTGCTAGAACTGCAGGCAGTGGCTTTACCTGCTACACAACAGTGCCTGCCCTGAGAGTATGTTTTTATTTAAAATCTGGGGGCCAGCATTGCAATTGACCTGCTGTGCCAGCATCCCATATGGGCACCAGTTCAGAGACCCAACTGCTCCACTTATGATCCATCACCCTCCTAATGGCCTGGGAAAGCAGTGGAAGATTGTCCAAGTGCTTGGACCCCTGTGCTCACATGGGAGTCCTGGAGGAAGCTTCTTTCTTTGGCCTGGCAGAGCCCTGGATGTTGTGGCCATTTAGGGAGTGAATAGATAGATAGATAGATAGATAGATAGATAGATAGATAGATAGATATCTCTAACTTTGCCTTTCAAATACATCTTTAAAAAGCAATCTTAAAAAAACGTATATTGGGGCCACCACTGTGGTATAGTGGGTGAAGCTGCCACCCGCATCCCACAGATAAAAGAAGTCCAAGACAGAAAAGAGAGCATACATGTATGGTACCAGTGCTTTTCAGATGCTGCATGAGACACTTTGTGTGTGGTATCTCATTTAATCTCATAATAATCTTATAAGATAAGCATTATTACTATCTTCATTTTATAGAAAAGGAAACAGAAACTTAGGGAAGAAAAGGACACTTTTCAAGGTCATACCAGCTGTAAATAGCAAAGCTAGGATTAAAGTCTAGGTCTATCTGCTCAAGAATCACTCTGCTTCAAACAAGAGTGAAGGGTTGGGAGAAAGAGTGCTACACTAGGCAATCTAACTAGTGCACAGGTGCCAAATTTTGCTTTTTACTAATATTTCTTTTTAATGGAAGACTGAAAGTACACATTGACTTTCTACCTAAGCTATGTCCAGGAGAAATCAAGAATCAGTAAGAATTTTAATCCTAGTCAAGATTTGCTGATTGACAGGGAAATGTTATGGGTATTAGTTGTATTCTATAGGGTTCATGAGAAATGAGGAGTCCAAGAGGTGGGGACCCCAAAGTTGTGGGGTCAGAGATTTCATCTTTGGAGATTGGTGAAGCTATTTTTGTAGCGAGTGATAAGGCTGTAGGCAGCCAGGGCAGGCAGGATGCCTAAAAGCATAGTCCATTTCCATCTCCAAATAAGGAGATGCAGTGCAGATACCTTTCTTGAGTAGGTAGGGGTGAATGATGTGACAGAAAGTGCTCTGTGTCAGCCTCACTCAAATTGTGCATCGTATTAAATAAGGCTTTTAGAAGCATTCAGTTACATTGAACCAACGTTAAAGTTTCAGGATAATTTCTTTTTTAAGAGACTCAGCTATGGGAAATAATTCATCAGGTAGAGTGTTAAGCTGAGCTGAGAGTTCTGAGTCCCTTGCCAGTGTGTGTATGATCATCAGCATGTCTTTTAATTTTCCAGCTGTTTGTTTCCTTTTTCTGTAAAATGAAGAATATATCACAAAGATATTGTGAGAGTTGTCATTAAACAGAAAGCATTTTGAATGGAAGTATTCTATTAGCTGATCCTTGCAGTCCGTTTTGGGACCTAATTTGCCTTACTGAAGAAGACAGCCAACCAGCATCATGACACAGCAGGTTAAGCCACTGCTTGTGCCGCCAGAGTGCACTTGGAGTCCTGGATGCTCCACTTCTGATCCAGTTTCCTGCTGATGTGCCTGGGAAGGCAACAGATGATGGCCTAAGTACTTGCACTCCTGCCACCCCTGTGGGAAACCAGGATGAAGTTCCTGGCTTCTGTCTTCAGCCTGGCCCAACCCTGACTATTGCAGGCATTTAGGGAGTAAACCAGTGGGTGGAAGATGTCTCTTTCTCTGTCCTTCCCTTCTGTCACTCTGCCTTTCAAATAAATAAATCCTTTTTAAAAAAAAAAATTGATAAATTCACTCTTCATACTTCCCTGTGTTCTAGAAGCTCAGAAATGAGCTGTCAGCATAGGGTGGCATTTTAAGCTACAGAAGACCCAGTTGCATAGTAGGTCACACCACTTGTTACCCACATTGGTATTCTAGCTCATAAAGTGATAACCAAGGGTACTTGATGGAAAGTATAGATGTGGTCATTAAAGTATTAACATACTAAACTTATCTTTTTTTAAGATTTATTTGAAAGAGTTACAGAGAGAGAGATCGATCTTCCTTCTTCTGGTTCACTCCCCAAATGCCCACAACAGCCAAGTCTGTCATGCTGAAGCCAGGAGCCGGTAGTGCATCTGGATCTCTGACAGTACTTGTACCATCTTCCACTGCCTTCCCAGGCACATTAGCAAGGAGTTAGATTGGAAGCAGAGCAGCCAGTACTAGAACTGCCACTCCAGTTGGGATGCCAGAGTTGCAGGTGCCAGAGCATAACCCACTGCACTGCGACACCAGCCCCACCAGTTTTTCTTTGCTCCTTTGTGGATCTGTGTATATAAATATATTTAAGGGCTTTTAGATGCATATAAATAAAATCTCTTAGAGTAATAATTTTTATATGCTTGCAATTCTATACACTCTAAAAAAGAAACTTTGAAAAACCTAATTTTTGGGCCAGCGCTGTGGCATAGTGGGTAAAGCCACCAGCTGCAATGCTGGCATCCCACATGGGCCCCGGGTCAAGTCCCGGCTGCTTCACTTCCGATCCAGCTCTCTGTTATGGCCTGGGAAAGCAATAGAAGATGACCAAGTCCTTGGGCCCCTGCACCCACGTAGGAGACCCAGAAGAAGCTCCTGGCTTTGGATCGATGAAGCTCCAGCCGCTGTGGCCAACTGGGGAGTGAACCAGCACATGGAAGACCTTTCTCTCTCTCTGCCTCTCCTTCTCTCTGTGTAACTCTGACTTTCAAATAAATAAATAAATCTTAAAAAAAAAAAAAAAAAAAAGAAAAACCTAATTTTCTTATGCCATGTCTTCTCAGTATAAACTTAAGGGTAATAGAAATAAGACTTACTAGACTTACTAATTAGCAAAGATAATCAAATGGTATATTCATTATAGTCAAATTTCCTGCTTCTCTCTTCTCAGACCAACTGAACGAGAGCGAACAGAAAGGCTAATTAAAACCAAATTAAGGGAGATTATGATGCAAAAAGATTTGGAGAATATCACATCCAAAGAGGTGAGACACCTTGAGTCTTCATTGTTCCAAGGGTAGAAGTGGAATAACAATAGGTGTGGGGCTAGAAATGGTGTATGGTTCTAAGTACAGAGAGAAATAAATGCTAATTGCCTGATTTCATCCATTTGCACTATATACACATGTCGAAATATTGCCTGGTACCCTCTAAAGCTGTACAAGTATTACATGTTAAAGAATTTTTTAAATAATCTAAAAATTACATACACACATGCACACAGATATAAAGTAACACAAAAATATAAAGAGAGTACAGAGATTAGTACAGAATGTCATCTCTGTTTCAGATACGAACGGAGTTGGAGATGCAGATGGTGTGTAATTTGCGGGAATTCAAGGAATTTATAGATAATGAAATGATAGTGATCCTTGGTCAGATGGATAGCCCTACACAGATATTTGAGCATGTGTTCCTGGTAAGTGTTAGGTCTGCTTTAATTAGTGTGCTGAAGGTGGGCCATTTAGCTTTGTAAGTGGTTGTTTAATTTTATTATATTTAAATAAAATGCAATGAACATTTAAAACAAAGATAATAAATACTCATCAGTTCCTTATTATTTGTGCTTTTAAGATTATTTGCGTCTGTGGTATGATGTTGTGCTGCTGCTCATCTCTTCCCAGTTCCTCATTTGGTAGTTAGCATCATGCTGGTGGATTCAGCTTGACTGTGGTGGGCCATTTACCCCAAGGAAATCTGCAAATGCTACTGATCAGGGGGCTTTTTTGCCCTTAGGTTGCAGAATGTTTCATCTGCTTTTCATTACACTCAGTCAGAAGCACTAGTCAACTCTAGTTTTGTGAAGTGTATCCAACAGGATGGTCCTTTATCATCATTCTTTGAAACCTGCCAAATGTGTCTGAGGTTTGATGTATCTGAGCAGAGCAGTTGGGAACTACTTGTAACTGAGAGATTATTTTGAGTCACCCAGATACATTTGTGATCACCAAAAAGTGACTAAAAATTGTTCTTTATGGTTCTTGAGCAGTGACCTGTAATTAGCTCAAGGAGCCCTGTCTAACAGATAGGTTAGGAAAACGTCTAACAGTCTAAGATCCATATGACACTCCAATGTTAAAAGAGTTCTAGTTTTTGTCTGTATACAGTAGTGGAAACAAAGATAATCAAAATCAGTGAAGAATGCCAAAACCTTGTTTTTGTTTCCACTTCCCACACACTTTGAGCAAAAATGCTAATAAGGAACTAAATTGATAGGTTTAGATTTCACTTCCTTTCTGAAACTGGTGAGGACATTCATGAACTATGAAATGATTAGAAGCTGAGAAGTACGAGAGATGTGTAATAAGTAAATGCACAGGAACTGACTAAACTACATCACTTCCCTTGAATATTCAAGAGTTCATTTGACCAGACAATCAGACTTGGTACCATTGGAGGCTTATGCCCTGAATTAACTTGTTGACACTCTAGAATATGTGTGTCTCTCCATGAGTCATATTGGAGTATAGCTATGAAATTACTCATGAAAAGCTATGAGCTGGGAGGGGAACAACTTCTCCATTACATTAACTGGCAGTGTGTATTGCCATTTCTGGAAGTAGATTATACTGCAGACTCTCATTGGCCTTTCCATTTGTACAGCTCCTGGCCTAGTTGTCTCTTATGTATCTTCTCACAAGCTTTCAAGTTTATCTTGCTCTTATATTGTTGGAAAGGATCTTTGTGTATTCTATTGAAAATGTAAGCTTTGCTTATTCAGATGGGCCCCACCCTGAACTGTCTCCATGTAACCGAATTATGAAAGGCAAATATCTGTAGCAAAACAGAGCTTATGTTAGAAAGTGAACAGAGAAGCTGGTGCCGCGGCTCACTAGGCTAATCCTCCGCCTTGCGGCGCCGGCACACCGGGTTCTAGTCCCGGTTGGGGCGCCGGATTCTGTCCCGGTTGCCCCTCTTCCAGGACAGCTCTCTGCTGTGGCCAGGGAGTACAGTGGAGGATGGCCCAAGTGCTTGGGCCCTGCACCCCATGGGAGACCAGGAGAAGCATCTGGCTCCTGCCATCGGATCAGCGCGGTGCGCCGGCCGCAGCGGGCCAGCTGCGGCGGCCATTGGAGGGTGAACCAACGGCAAAGAAGACCTTTCTCTCTGTCTCTCTCACTGTCCACTCTGCCTGTCAAAAATAAAAAATAAAAATAAAAAAAAAAGAAAGTGACCAGAGAAGTCATGTTCACACTGAGCTAGAACTTTAATACCTAAAATGATGCAGATATGATGAATATCAAAAGACAGTCAACTTCTGAGTGGTTAACCTATTTGATTTGAGGCATACTTTATTTATTTATTTTAGGGGTTTATTTATTTGTTTGAAAGACTTGGAGAGGCAAAGACAGAAAGAGATCGTCCATCCTCTGGATCACTCCCCAAATGGCCACAATGGCTGGAGCTGGGCCAAGCCAAAGCCAGGAATCAGGAGCTTCTTCTGGGTCTCCCACATGAGTGCAGGGGCCCAAGCACTTGGGATGTCTGCTGCTGCCTTCCCAAGCACACTAGCAGGGAGCTGGATCGGAAGTGCAGCAGCCAGGACTCAAACCAGTGCCCATATAGGGTGTTGGCACCTCAGGCAGCAGCTTTCCCCGCTATACAACAGCCCCAGGCCCCTGAGGTACATTTCAAAATGTCAGATGCCGCCCCCCAAGAAATAGCTCTTCCTTACCTCTACCTCAGATGATATAGTACAGGCACTTAAGCAAATTTTAATAATACCATAAACAGAAAAGAACAATCTTAACCCATTTTCCCCAAGATTATACCTCTCTAAGCTACTACTAATGCATTTGAATATTTGTACCAATAGCTTCATTCTATATTTTCATGATTGTCAGACATTTCTTCTATCTTTAGTTTTTTTACTTATAAAATAGTTGATATTTGTTGTAAAAAAATGTTAGAAAACAATGAATCACATTTAATCATCCGTAGGGCCTTCATTGCTACCTTTTGTTATACCTTGTAGTAATTTTTATTTATCTTCATATATATATGGTCACAGATGTATACTATATGTACTTTATTAAGTTTTAGGTTCTTAGCAAAATTGAGCAGAAGGTATAGAGATTTCCCTCAAAAACACAGCCTTCCTGTGTTCAGCATCCTACATCAGGGTGGGACATTTGTACCCTTGCTGAACCAGTTCCATGTGGGAACATCATTAACAGCCAAAGTCCACAGCATACACTTGGCTTCTCTCTGATGCTACATGTTATATGGGCTTAAATTTATGACATGTGTTCACTGATACAGCAACATGCAGTTTTCCAATTTTTAAATACATATCTATGTACATATTTCTGAACAAAGGAAAATCTCTTCAGCTTCAGATATAATTCTATTTTCTTTTTTTTTTTCTTTTTTTTTCTTTTTTGACAGGCAGAGTGGACAGTGAGAGAGAGAAACAGAGAGAAAGGTCTTCCTTTTGCCATTGGTTCATGGACATTGTCTTCCCATTGTGAATATTTTTCTTATTTGAGAAAAAAACTTCCATCCTGAAATTTATCTCTTTCCAAGTTAAATAAATGCACGAGCAAACTGTCTAAACATCTTATTGTCCATGCTTCTTCACGGGTGGCTCCCTCCCTTTGTCTGTACCCCCATATTCTGTGTTCAGACTCCTGTCTCTTCTTCAGTGAATCTGTGTGCTGCTGGCTTCCCAGCTATTGACACAGAGAAAGAGTTCTTATCCTATCTGCAAGAGGTGGTGTTAATTTTCTGCAAAGTCATCTCATCTTGTGCATAGCTGCCATGCCTGGAGCTCTACCAGATTGTATGAAGAGAGGCAGCAAGATTTCTCTCCCCTGTTGGAGGAAAGCTCAGCTCTGCAGTGCACTGCACAAAGATCTGTTTATTTGTAAACCATATGGAGAGGGAGAGTGCAGAGCATAATTCGAAGAAAATCTTCAGTAAGAAGAGCAGGCTGATTGGTGGGAGACCAAGGTGTTGTTTCTAGAAAAAGAGGTTCTTCCACACCCTTGTAAGTGTACTGTTTCTCTGCACTGGAAGCCTTTGCCCAGCCAGATTTCAGTATTAACAGCTCTCCTGGAGGCCATCCGATTTGGCTGAGAAAACACCAGATGTGAACAGAGACCCTTTGCAGAAAAGCTTTCTTAGTCAAACAAGGGAAACACAAAAATTTTGGACAGAGAACCAATAATTTTGCTCCTGAATAAAAAAAGTAGTTAGGATTTTTACTGTTATCCTTTTCAAGGTTTGACGTTATAAATCCTTTTAAAATAATATTTCCTTTTCAAAGAAAAATTCAGCCTCAAATTGGTTACTTTTACTGTAGGCACAGAAAAACGGAGGGTGTATGAAGAGATGAGACAGTAATAAAATGGGTTATTTTAATCTTAGGTACTCACGATTTGGGCTGCTGAACTAGAGATGTGAGGCATGAACTTCTCTTTTAGAAGGGAAAGTTATTTGAGAGGTTGGACCTGGTTACAATGTAACATGACTTCAACATTGAGGTTATAGGTATGCTATGATGAAAAAAAAAGATACCGACAAGGATGCCCATCCTTAGAGATTTTGTCTTTTCCTTGTTCTTAACATAACTCCCATTACAACCCTTATTTGCTGCAAATGTGTTCTCCTTTATTATTTTGCTTGGAACAGTTGAACCCCAGCAAGGCTATTTCCTGAGGATAATATTTGAGAAGAAATCAGCTACATGGGCCAGCATACATTATAAGGGAGCCAGAGTGAAAGATGGAAGTGAATTTACTTAAAAATATATTCTAGACCCAAGGTTTCATTATGAACTTCAGTAAGATTAGAATGTGTTTTGTATGTTAACAACATGGTCATAAGCCTGAAGAGCTGGGCAGAATTGGATCTGTGGAGTGTCCCAGAGGGTGCTAATCATGTTATTTTTCCTAAGGACAGAAAAGTAGTTACACAGTCAACCTCAGTTCTTTCATGTTAAATCTGGGATAGCCCTAACCACAAGCCATGTCACTTTATGTGGAATTCACTGAGTCAGTAACCAGTGCCTCTAGATAATGTCACTTTGAATTGTCAGATTCAGCTCTCTCTGGACAAGCAGATAAAAATCATGGACTGTTCCCATCATATCAGGATTATTTCCATCTAACTGGATAGAGTTCTGAAGAGGACTTCAATTTCTAAATTAAGAATTTAGTTGGGGGCTGGCACTATGGCATAGAAGGTTAAGCCTCTGCTTTCAGTGCCAGTATCTCAGTGCCAGCATCCTATATGGGCACCCGTTCGAGTTCCGGCTGCTCCAGTTTTGATCCAGCTCCCTGCTAATGTGCCTGGGAAAGCAGTGGAAGATGGCACAAGGGCATGGGCCCCTGCACCCATCCACTGGAAGAAGTTCTTGGCTCCTGGCTTTGGCCTTGGCCCAGCCCTGACCACTATGACCATTTGGGGAGTGAACCAGCAGATGCAATATATCTCTCTCTGTCTATCTCTCTTTCTCTCTCTGTATCTAACTTTCAAGTAAATAAGTTTTAAAAAAAAAGAAAGAAAGAAAGAAATGAAGTGGTCACATTTCCCTGAATCAAGTTTAGTCACTCAACCCTTAGTGTTTGGTGTCTGTCTCCTTGAACTTCTCTGTAGTTCTTGCCTGTTTCTTTGGTGCTATGGCTAGTTTTCTAAGACTGAGTTCAGAGCCTTTAGAACCACCAATATTTTTTGAAAACAAGTCAGCTGAGCTCTGGTCTGTAGAAAAGCTCCGTTGTCCATAACTGACTGACCTTTTCCTAAATGGAACTTCAGCACAGTGTCCTTGAGATCTCTCAGTTCAGCAGCCAGATTTCAGATCATTTGTAATATGATGATAGTGCTTACGTAACACTTGAGAGCTTCCAAAGTGCTTCGTGTACTTAGTTGATCATTCATTCAGCAAGCATTTGTTGATCCTGTTTATTGTGCTAGGCATGAGACTGGCATTTTTGTGGTCTTAGCTTATTCCACGGTGAGAAACTGATGAACCATGTCAGATAGATAATCAGAGAACACCATTGGAATAAGGATACAGAGGCAGCCCCTGACTAGACAATTAGGAGAGATCACTAGAAACATGAGCAAGAGTGGTGAGGGCCCAGGCCAGAGTGCTGTGGATTGACACACACAAAAGATGACAAAACAGAGGAATTAAGTGTTACACTGTGTTTCTGTGAGTCTTGGCCATGAAGGGAAGAGAAAAATCCTCATAGAAGGATTCAGGATGGAGAGTGTTTCCATTTTAATATGGAGGAAACTTCATTTGTACAACCTAAGGAAAGATACCCACTAAATACATGGGATTGGCAAGAAAAGTGTTCCATTTTACAGATAAGAAAAATGAAGGCAGAGAAGTTAAGCAGTTGGCCATATGCCCCACAAGAGGGGAGTAAGAACTTGAATTCAGTTATTCTAATTCTAAATTCCATTTAATGTTTCTGAGATAGATAAACACTTATCTTTAAATATTTGCCTTCTCAAAAGATAGGAACTGATAGCTCAAAGATAGAAAATGGACCTAAACATTGGGAGATTGTTCACTTTTACTCAAAAGGGAAATACAAATTGAAACCACACTGAGCTAACATTTCTTATCAGATTGGCAAACGTTCAGAAGCTTAACCACACATTTTGCTGGCAAGACTATGGAGAAAGTGGCACTCTCATACATTTGCTGGTAGGAATGCAGACTTGTTTGAAGCCCTGTGGAGTGGAATTTAGCAGTGTTTAATAAAACTGCATTTAGCCTTTGGCCCAGCAATCTTGCCTCTACAAATACAGAAATATCATCTATAGGAGACTGTTTGAATAAATCATTATATGACTGCCCAACCAAGTACTGCACAGATGTAAGAGAAACCAAGGAATAGCTCTATGGACTATTATATGGAATCCTTTTAAAGGTACATTGTAAAGTAAAGAAAGAAAAAAACAAAACAAAACAAACAAAAAAACACCCTATGTACCATACTACTTTTGTGTAAGAAGTTGTAATATAATTGGAAGTAGCAATAAGTACATATTTGCATATATTTTTTACTTGTTTTACTTATTTTATTAAAATTCTTTTGACAAAACTAGTACTCAAACTTTCTAGTTGACATGTAGGGGCTTCAAAATTTCTATCTAGTGTTTCTGCATTCATTGACGGTCACTCAGGAAAACGCCAAAAAGACGTTGAGTTCCTATGGTCTGCCCCATCCTTGTCAGCAAACTCTACTGTGCATATATTTTTTTCAAAGTAGAGCTTAAAAATGAATCAGAAACTTGTGAAACTTGTAACCCATAGGAATTGAAGAGATAAGGGTGAAAGTGAAACTTTGAACCATGTAGAAAACATCACATTAGTATCATCTCAGAAAAAAAAAAATACATAATTTTTAAGCATGATTCTTTTTTAAAAGATTTAGAGCCGGCGCCGTGGCTCAATAGGCTAATCCTCCGCCTTGCGGCGCCAGCACACCGGGTTCTAGTCCTGGTCGGGGCGCCGGATTCTGTCCCGGTTGCCCCTCTTCCAGGCCAGCTCTCTGCTGTGGCCAGGGAGTGCAGTGGAGGATGGCCCAAGTACTTGGGCCCTGCACCCGCGTGGGAGACCAGGATAAGTACCTGGCTCCTGCCATCGGATCAGCGCGGTGCGCCGGCCACAGCGCACCGGCCGCAGCGGCCTTTGGAGGGTGAACCAGCAGCAAAGGAAGACCTTTCTCTCTGTCTCTCTCTCTCACTGTTCACTCTACCTGTAAAAAAAAAAAAAAAAAAGATTTATTTATTTATTTAATAGAGTTACAGAGAGGCAGAGAAAGAGAAACAGAGGTCTTCCATCCACTGGTTCACCCTCCAGATGGCCTCAATGGCTGGAGCTGGGCCGATCCAAAGTCAGGAGCAAGGAGCTTCTTCCAGGTCTCCCACACAGGTATAGGGGCCTAAAGACTTGGGACATCTGCTGCTGCTTTCCCAGACCATAGCAGAGAGTTGAATTGGAAGTGGAGCAGCTGGGACTTGAACTGGCGCCAAATGGGAGGCCTGCGCTGTAGGTGGCAGCTTTACCTGCTGCGCCACAGTGCCAGCCCCTAAACATGATTCTTTAATAATACCTCTTATAGAGATATAATGGGGGAAAAAAACTACAAAGGAAATTTGAACTTAGTAGGTTTGTTGTTGGTAGTGGTATTGGAGTAATAGTGTTGAATTTATTTTGTAAGTAGAACAGAATGAGTTTTGGGGCACCAAGGATTAGATGGATCACATTACAGATTAGCATACATGCTGTTGAGGAAAAAAAACAGATTATTATAGGCAAGAATAATGGAAAACATCTAACTTAGATTGGATGATGATCAAAGACTTATTTTGATCTTCAGCAAAAAATATTTGAATCCTATGAATATTGGTTTTCTTGTCCAAAAAACGAAGGTGAATGTAGCTTTTTGTTTGTTTTTTGAGGTTTATTTATTTGAAAGGCAGAGTTACAGAGAGAGAGGGAGAGACAGAGAGACCTTCTATCTGCTAGTTCACTCCCCAGATGGCCATGATAGCCCGGGGCTGGGCCCAGCCAAAGACAGGAACCTGCAACTCCATCCAGGTCTGCCATGTGGGTGGCAGGGACCCAAGCACTCGAGCTATCCTTCCGCTGTTCTCCCAGGGGCAGGAGCAAAAGGAAGCTGGATTGGAAGTGGAGCCACCAGGATTCAAACCAGCACTCATAGGGGATGCTGGCATCTCAAACAGCAGCTTAACCCACAGTACAACACCATCCCCTGAAGATAGTTTTCTTAGTCTGTCATTTGTGAAAACTAAGTGTGATAACATCTGAAGTGCCTGACACTTAAAGGGCACTGGGTACAAATTATTGGCTGCCTTTTTAGAAACTGCTTCTTTCCTCAGAGGACTCCTTTTCAAATATTGCATTTGGTTGACTTGCTGATTCTGACTTTGTCTTTTTGGCTCCATAGGGTTCAGAGTGGAATGCCTCAAATCTAGAGGACTTGCAGAACCGAGGGTAAGTACACACAACAGTTGCTCTCTCCCCATGTGATGGAAGTCCCTGCTTTATCTTTACATTTCCCACAAGGAGGTATAAGTGGGTAACTTTAATCTTTTGAGTTGCTACCAACTGTATAATAAAGTATAATTAATAAAAATTAAAACTATTCTCCCACTGCCCCACCACCACCTTCCAAGAAAGATCAGCTGCTTTACGGAAGGGCTTTCAAAAACATACAAGTCTTTGGTGTTTGTTCATAATCAAATGTTGTTTTTGGCTTCTGTTTTTATGTAAGCATTAATAAAACTGCATCTGTTAGGTTCACAGAATTATTCATTCAACATTTATTGAGCATCTTTGATGGGACAGGCACGGTGCTGTGTGCTGGTGATCCACAGGAAATAAAACTCATTCCTATCCTCTTTTTTTTTTTTTTTTTTAAGATTTATTTATTTAAAAGGGTTACAGAGAGAGGGAGGGAGGGAGAGATCTGAGAGATCTGTCCGCTGGTTCACTCACCAGGTGGCAGTAAGGGCCAGGTCTGAACCAGGCAAAAGCCAGGAACTTCCTCCGGGTCTCCCAAGTGTGTGGCAGGGCCCAAGCACTTGAGCCATCTTCTACTGCTTTCCCAGACAATTAGCAGGGAGCTGAATTGGAAGTGGGGCAGCCAGGACTCAAACTGGTGTCTAGGTGGAATGGCATTGCTGGCAGTGGCTTTACCTGCTATGCCCCAACAGTGGCCCCGGTTTCTATCCTTTCACAGTAAGTTGCTTGAAGACCAAGTAGGCTATGAATGTAAAATGGACAAGCTTCTGAAATAGAACAAGAAGAACTACCTTATAAGGAGAAAATTGTTCTAAGCAGCATAGTTATTTAGTACATCTATAACTGTTGAGATGATAGTAAACATTCAATAAGCAAAAAGCTGCCCTTCTTACTTCCTAATTATTGCTTGCTAATTTTCTTATTCAGCTTCACCTTAGGGAGGTAAGATCATCCCAATAAGAGAAGAGAAAATGGTGTCTAAAATTTACCATGCTTGGGGCCAGCGCTGTGGCTTAGCAGGTAAAGCCACTGCCTGTAGTGCCCGGCATTCCATATGGGCATCAGTTCGAGTCCCAGCTGCTCCACTTCCAATCCAGCTCCCTGTTAATGAACCTGGGAAAGTAATAGAGGTTGGCCTAAGTCCTTGGGCCCCTGCACCCACATGGGAGACTGAAAGAAGCTCCTGGCTCCTGGCTCCTGACTCCTGGCTTCGGATCAGCCTAGTTCCAGCCGTTGCGGCCATTTGGGGAGTAAACCAGCGGATGGAAGATCCTCTCCGCCCTCCTCCACTGCCTCTGCCTCTGCCTCTCCGTAACTCTGCTTTTCAAATAAATAAATAAATCTTTTAAAAAATTTGCCGTGCTTAACTCTTCATTCTAGACAGAGATAAAACCAACCTGGGAATAATGGTTGGTTACTGTCTGGCTGCTTTCTTGGCTGCAAGTCAGCTCTGCTTGTCTTTACCATTATTAGATACACACTCCCTACTCTTTCTCCCAGAAGAAAGGTATTTCATAATTGCTAAAATTAAGTCAGAGTAGGATTTAAGTCAAATGATTCTACAAAGAATTCTGGAGGGAGAGAGCTTCTGATTGCTTAATTAATTAAAGAACTTTTATTTTAATTTTTTTACTTTGATTTTTTTGAAAAGGGAGGCTGGGCCAAGCCAGTGAGTTTTCATCCTTTAAAAATTAAATGTATATCAGTGTTTATATTTAATATAAAATCTGAGTTTTTATATAGCAGCGCTTGCCAAAAGCATTGTAATCACATCATACACATATACACTATGACTTTACATCTCATTTGCATCCTATGAGGCTAACCTATAATAGCAACTATATTAAGTTGTTTTAAAACACTATATGGTAAGATGCCCAGATGTCTACTTGGATCTCATTTTCAGTGTGGTTCATAAATGTACATAAAGAATGAGAGTTTAGGAACATGTACACAATAACCATATGTACTGTGCCAAATGTATGATTTACATAATTGTCAAGTGTAATTTTGCCAGTAAGGCCACTTCCACCCAATCTATTGACTTCATAACCTGATTCCAAGTACAAAGCTCTTCCATAAGGAGTCATCACTTAGTGTTAAGATAGCAAAGAAGTTTCAAAGATTGTCAGTTCCAGTCAGCAGTGGCTCTTACAGCTCTGTCATCACGAGGATTGGGAAGCCCTTGTCCTGCTTCTACAGAGAGTAGCATAATGCATTAGTAAGGTAGGGGACTGGAGGTGGAAAGTTGTTAATTTTTATTTTAAATTGAATAAGGGAAGTATGCTTTCCTTTTTCCTTCTGACAGTCTTATTGAAATATCATTCAAATTTTGTGCAGTTCACCCATTTAATTCAGTAGCTTTTAATATATTCACAGCATTGTGCAACCATCACCACAATTTACATTTTCTCAACCCAAAGAGAAAGCCTGTACCATTTAGGAGTCACTCCCTTTCCTTTCTTCCTCTTATTCCCTAGAAGCAGCTAATGTCCATCAGCTGACAGGTAGCCACTTTTTGGCTATTATAGATAATATTGCTTTGGCTTTTCCTATGAAAGTTTTTGAGTGGACGTATGTTGTCATTTATCTGGGTTTATACCCAGGAAAGGAATTGCTGAGTCATAGAGTAACTCTATGATTAACCTTCTGGGGACCTGCTAGATGATTTCCACAGCAGCTATACCATTTTACATTCCTGCTCTTTGCTTGCTTTTTAAATAAAAAAAATTTAAACTTTCTTATGATTGAGCATTTCTTAAAATTTTATTTAAGGTATACAAATTTCTTATAGTGATTGAGCTTTGATGTTAAGTTAAAACAGATTCAGTTCCTATCCCAGAAAAATTTGAGCCACCTGACCTTAACCACAAGCTTGGTTAGCTATGACCCTCTGTTTATGCAGTCATTTCTTTGACTTCATAGGTTGAGTTTGTAGAACCACACGTTTGGTTCTGAGAAGGAAGCAGCTTCTGCAGAAAGAAATTAGTGAATCTGTGTTCTGTTCTTGAAGTAAATGCCAGTGATACCTAAGTCCACACAACTCTGAGAAATGTAACCTTTGGTAAATTGAACCTAAGCGTTTACTGACATTGGGCAATGAGAAAGAGAAGAAATTTTTGAAAAAGAAACCCTCTTCTGCAGGCATGTCAGTACAGGAGAACCTTTTGACACATCTGCTACCATAACAGCCAGGAATGTAGCCAGATAGAGTTGAAGGAGTTTTAAGTCCAACTTTCCTTTGACCTGTCCAGCCCTGGCCTCGTTTGCCTGTCATGTTGTATAAAGGGAATACCAGAACAAAGTCTAACAATGTGGCATTTAAAAAATAGGAGGAAATTTTTCTTTCTCTTTTTCTTGAGATACATGTAGGTAGTAAGAATTCATACAAATGACTTCCAAAGGACAAATTGCTGGTAATTTTAGCGACAGAAAGATAAATTGGCAGATTATGGACCTCAACTTGATTCTTCAGAGTAAAATATGAGGTATATTTTCAGGAGACTATCAGAGATGATATTCAAAGTGATATTTAGATGCTGAACTTGAAAGACAGCTTTTTGCTCAGAAACTTCCTGGTAGCCAGGTATGCCCAGGACCCAGTTTCTCTACTACATAAATATAGCCTCTTAGTTTTTGAGCTTTATTTCATAATTTTGTATTTAATTTTAGCATATGGAATAAACCAGTTTTAAGTAAGAAAAAGAGTGCTGGAAATAGAATTTTGCCTGAGTAGTAGAGCGCATATTCTCCCTTGGTTTCTTCACAGGGTACGGTATATCTTGAATGTCACTCGAGAAATAGATAACTTTTTCCCAGGAGTCTTTGAATATCATAACATCCGGGTATATGATGAAGAAGCAACAGACCTCCTGGCTTACTGGAATGACACGTACAAATTCATCTCTAAAGCAAAGTGAGTAACAGCCCCACATACAAACTCTAACCCCTGTTCTTCATATGCTCTGGATAAATTATTGATGGTGCTTAGGAAATAAAAAAGGGACTGGTTTTTTTTAAGATTTTATTTTTTTTAAGATTTTATTTCATGTTATTTGAAAGGCCAAGTTACAGAGACAGAGGGAGAGACAAAGATCTTCCATCTGCTGGTTCACTCCCCAGATGGCCACAACAGTTGGGGTTGGGCTAGGCAGGAGCCAGGAGCTTCTTCCAGTCCCTCAGATATGTGCAGGGGCCCAAGCACTTGGGCTATCTTCCTCTGCTTTCCCAGGCACATTAGCAGGGAACTGGATCAGAAGTGGAGCCGCCAGGATTCGAATCAGCATGATGCCCATATTGGGATGCCGGCATGACAGGTAGCAGCTTCACTTGCCTTGCCACAGTGCTGGCAGCGACTCTGGTTTTTTAATCCTAGACAAAAAAAACTAATGATTTAATACTTTTCCTTTTAGTAAATGAAGCCCTAGAAGAAATAGCTTCATGTTCACTGTTTCCATTAGCAGAAAGTTAAATAGAATAGACTTATGCTGCAACAACAGAAATAGAAATGAAAGATAGGAATTATAAATGAAATTCTTAAGTTGCAGTGAGGACATTTTAAAAGTAGAGTAGAGGAGCTGGTGCTGAGGCGTAGTGGTTAAGGTTGCCACTTCCATATGGGCACCGGTTTGAGTCCCAGCAGCTCCTCTTCCTATCCAGCTCTGCTATGGCCTGGGAAAGCAGTAGAAGATGGCCCAAGTGCTTGGGCCCCTGCACCCACATGGGAGCCCGAAAGAAGCTCCTGGCTTCAGATCAGCCCAGCTCCAGCCATTGCGGCCATCTGGGGAGTGAACCAGCAGATAGAACATCTCTCACTCTCTCTCTCTGCCTCTGCCTCTCTGTAACTCTGCCTTTCAAATAAACAAATAAATCATTTTTTTAAAAAAGTGGAGTAGAAATTATTTCAGATAAGTAGAATACTTGTCTTCCTCTCTGAAGGTGAGGAGAGAAACACAGGGAGCTTTGGAAATCTTTTCCCTTTCTTTTATTCTTCTCATGATACTCTAAATGGTGGATTTTTCTCTGACCCTTATGTTGATGTATTCCTTAAATTAACTGGCCGTTATAGTAAAACTATTTAGTGTTAACTTAGTGTGTCATATTAATATATCACTGCATTTTTTTAAGTCCCTAGGGATTTCCCTGCCACTCCTATTTATTACATCACTAGAAAGAATCAAAAATGAACTTGTTGGCCAGATTTCTTTTTTTTTTTTTTTTTTTTTTTTTGATAGGCAGAGTGGACAGAGAGAGAGACAGAGAGAGAAAGGTCTTCCTTTGCCGTTGGTTCACCCTCCAATGGCCGCCGCTGCAGCCGGCGCACCGCGCTGATCCGATGGCAGGAGCCAGGATCCAGGTGCTTTTTCCTGGTCTCCCATGGGGTGCAGGGCCCAAGCACCTGGGCCATCCTCCACTGCACTCCCTGGCCATAGCAGAGGGCTGTGTTGGCCAGATTTCTTCAAACTATCCCCAGCAGATGAGAAATGCTTCTGTTTTTAAAGTGCCCTTTAAGAATGATTTCACATCTCTCTAAAGGACCTTCATGATGAGGAAATTCTTTATCTTAGTTACCCTAAATATTCATTCTCTAGCTGGAGCCTATTCCTTTAGTCTCTGGCCAGCATCTCAACGGGTGTTTTATATCCTTGAAGCCTTCTGATAAATCATTCCCAGTATTATGCCATTCATGGCATGCTTAATATGTGCCAGGTGCTTTATATGTATTCTGTACTGTAACATTTTCTAAAACCAAAGAGACAGACACTGTTGTCATCCCATGTAAGTGAGGACAGACTCTAGAGATAGAAATCAGAGATTAAATAAGTGGTGGAGACAGGAACTGAATCAAGATCATGTCTCATTTCAGGGTCCATCAGGTCTACAAGAATCATCTAGTTCCATAAGAGAAGGGGACCAGCAAAGACTAGGCAAGGATCTTAGCCTTGAGAAAAGACTTAGCAGGATCTCAGCCAGAGAGGCTAGAGTTGAGGATGAGGCCTCTGTCCCAGTGAAAAGAAAGGCTGATTTCAGGTGGTATTGGGGAGAGAGACCCATGAGGCACCCAGGGCACAAATGGAGGCACTTACTTTCGGACACCTGCAGGTGTAATGTCATTGCCTGGGAGGGAGACATCCTCTCGGTGCATCCTCTGTCTCACACTACTCAGGATCCTGATTCCTAACGGGATGCCAGGCTTAATCTAGACATTCAATATTGCAGGAGAGAGGGCAGTTATGAAAGATGGGGTTGGGTTAGGTGGGAACTGATCCTTCGTTATAGAAATTGAATCCATCCACTGAAAAAGCCGCATTGAAAATATGCCAAAGAGATGTTTTCATGGGAGTGGATTTCATAGCTGTATTTTACTTGGGATTGTCCAAGTATGTCCTACAGGCATAGACCTGAAATTTGATGCATTAACGGTGCCAGGGCTTGATGGGAAGATATAGAGCACATGTCTGAACTTCCATCTGAATCACTGTGCATTTATTTCGTACCTGTAACTCTAAATGGTGCTCTAAGTAAAACAGATACTTCCTTGGCATTTGGGATAATGTAAGCACCAATCTTTTTTTTTTTTAATTTATTTTTTATTTTTTTATTTTTTGACAGCCAAAGTGGACAGTGAGAGAGAGAGACAGAGAGAAAGGTCTTCCTTTGCCGTTGGTTCACCCTCCAATGGCCGCCGCGGCCAGCGTACCACACCAATCTGATGGCAGGAGCCAGGTACTTATCCTGGTCTCCCACGGGGTGCAGGGCCCAAGTACTTGGGCCATCCTCCACTGCACTCTCTGGCCACAGCAGAGAGCTGGCCTGGAAGAGGGGCAACCAGGACAGAATCCGGCGCCCCAACCGGGACTAGAACCCGGTGTGCCGGCGCCGCAAGGCAGAGGATTAGCCTACTGAGCCACGGTGCCGGCCAGCACCAATCTTGAATAGCAAAATTTTGTACTTAATTGGCAGATAGAAGGTTAATCTTACCTTTGAGACTATTTCAAGTATTCCAGGCCATTCTCTGCATTTTTGTAGCTTACCTGACTCCCTCTTTTTGCCGCCTAACCTCATGTGTCCTTGTTTGCTTAACTCTTTCCTGTGTCTCTGGCTCTTTTTCCAGAATAAGGATTATAAGCTTCTGGAAGAAAACTTTTCCATTTTTTTTTTTTAAGATTTATTAATTTTATTCAAAAGGCAGAGTTAGAGAGAGGGAGGGAGAGACAGAGACATCCTCCATTCTCTGGTTCACTCCCCAAATGGGTGCAACAGCCAGAGCTGGGCCAGTCCAAAGTGAGGAACCAGGAGCGTTTTCTGGGTCTCCCACATGGGTAAAGGGGCCCAAGCAATTGGGCCATCCTCCAGTGCTTTCCCAGGCCATTAGCAAGGAGCTAGATCAGAAGTGAAGCAGCCAGGACTCAAACTGGCGCCCATATGGGATGCTGTCTCCCCAGGGTAGAGATTTAACCTACTATGCCACAGTGCCAGCCCCAGAAGAAAGAGTTTCTACCTTCACACAAGTGAATGAATGAATGAATGAATAGATGTCCCTTTTAGGCTGATAGGACATATATTGACTCATTAGAATAGACACTTAGGGAGGATTCCACGTGCACAAGTGATGAGTGACATTCCTTTTTTTCCATACTTTAAAATGTACCTACTTAAGCATCTGGCATGTATAATGAGTACATCCATAAGTTTGCTCATACATTTGCAAGTATTTGAAGGCTACTGTGTGCCAAACACTGTTATTAGCAGAATTAGTATAACTGAGTAATGGCCTTATCCTAGGTAATAAACCCTGACGTGTTAATGTTGAGACTGAGGCAATTTGTTCATATAGCTTTATGGTAACTTAATCTTTTTTTCACTTTGTTAAAAAAACAAAAATAGGCTGGTGTCGCAGCTCAATAGGCTAATCCTCCGCCTGCGGCGCCGGCACACCGGGTTCTAGTCCCAGTTGGGGTGCCGGATTCTGTCCCGGTTGCCCCTCTTCCAGGCCAGCTCTCTGCTGTGGCCAGGGAGTGCAGTGGAGGATGGCCCAAGTGCTTGGGCCCTGCACCCCATGGGAGACCAGGAAAAGCACCTGGATCCTGGCTTCAGATCAGCGAGGTGCGCCAGCCGCAGCGCAGTGGCCATTGTGAGGTGAACCAACGGAAAAGGAAGATCTTTCTATCTCTCACTGTCCACTCTGCCTGTCCAAAAAAAAAAAACCAGAGCTGTGGCAGAGCAGAGAGGAAGGCTGATTTCATTTGGTTTGTGCTTCCCACCAGAGACAAAACCATTCCTGGAACTTAAACTGGATTCAAATAGTTCATACTATTTGAATAAATTAGATGAATCCCTGCCATGCCCGAACCCCAGGGGAGTACCAGCCATGAAACATGCCCCTGAAGCTTTGAGAGAACTGGGCTCCATCACACACAAATGTGCTCCAGTCCCTAAATCCAAAGTGCTCCCTCTACATTCTGTGACCACCTGTCATTGTATTTCCCATTTGGAATTTTGTCTCTCCCATTGAATTCTTCCCTTTAAAGTACAGCTGCATGTTACTGACCTTTGCAGACTAGCACCTTGCACATTGTCTAACATATGATAAATATCTGGTAAATGTTTACTGGATGAATTAAAGAAGCATATTATTAACATTGAATAGTATTTGAAATTACACTAGAGCTGCCTGTCCTGCTCACACATTTGATTATAGATTTGCACAAGTGGACCAAGGAGAAGGGATTGCATAGCAGTAAAATGGAAGGGTAGGACAGGAGACATGAAAAAATCTAGAACCCAGCTTTTAAAATATACTCACTGTTCTCTTTTCTTTACCTTCATTTCCCAAACTAGGAAACATGGATCTAAATGTCTTGTACATTGCAAGATGGGGGTGAGCCGCTCAGCCTCCACTGTAATTGCCTATGCAATGAAGGAATATGGCTGGAATCTGGATCGAGCCTATGATTATGTGAAGGAAAGACGAACGGTGACCAAACCTAACCCCAGCTTCATGAGACAACTGGAAGAGTATCAGGGGATCTTGCTGGCAAGGTGAGTCCTTGCGTGACTTTCTTGGATTCTCCCTCCTTCAGGCTATAAAGCAAGGTGAAAAGTCCTCCTTTGCAGCTAATTCTCAGCCTGATTTGGAGGTGATGATACTTTTTGAAAATAAATTTCTTTATTAATCCAATTTTCCAAAACTAAGTATAAGCTTTTAAGATTATCATGGAAGATTCGGCATTTAATCTCAAGTTAATAAAAGTAAAGAATGGAAATACTATGCTCTTATTTTAGTTCTCAATTTTGATAAGTACTTCTCAACATCTTATAAGGTGAAATACAGGCCAGCGCCGCGGCTCAGTAGGCTAATCCTCCACTTACGGCGCCGGCACACCAGGTTCTAGTCCCGGTTGGGGCGCCGGATTCTGTCCCGGTTGCCCCTCTTCCAGGACAGCTCTCTGCTGTGGCCAGGGAGTGCAGTGGAGGATGGCCCAAGTGCTTGGGCCCTGCACCCACATGGGAGACCAGGAGAAGCACCTGGCTCCTGGCTTCGGATCAGCGTGCAGCGCGCCGGCTGCGGTGGCCATTGGAGGGTGAACCAACTGCAAAAGGAAGACCTTTCTCTCTGTCTCTCTCTCTCACTCTCACTGTCCACTCTGCCTGTCAAAAAAAAAAAGGTGAAATACAGCTGCCTTTTCAAAATGAATACTGGTTACCCCAAGGTAATGTTCCTTTTGGCCCATTCTTTTAAAAAAAGTTCCTACTGCTACTTTTTTGGATCTTTTTTTTTCTTTCAGTGTTCAGTTACACTGAGCCCTCTCCCTTAATTTGGATCATATGTGTTGCACATCAGAATTGAAATGTATATAACTTGTTTAAGATATTTTTCTTTTTTAAAAAGCTTTTAATCCAGTTTTTTATATATGCTTTGCAAAAACATAGAAAATTACAAAGGGAAAAATACTTTAAAGGCTCAATACCCACAAATAGCAGTCAGCATTACTTTACCAGTTTTCTAGGTTTTAATCTGTAAGATATCTCGATGGGTATTTTTTCCACAAAATCTGTTCTGCAGCCTGCCTCTCTACCCAGTACTGGGTCTTGAACACTTCCTGTATCAATAAGAACTAGTTGTTCTCAATAATGATTTGATAATTGGTTATAAAATGAGTGGTTAATATCCAAACCTCATTAGCCCTTTGGAATGTTGACAGCTACCTTCAGCTGCTCTTGGGGATAAGTATTAGAAATTAAACAACTTAAGGATCAGTTTCCTGAAGTGCCACGTGCTGAAATTCTGGGGATTGCTAGATTTTGCTTTTTTTACTTGTGGGCTTGTTCTAGCTGGTTTTGTTTGGGTGAAAGCGCAGATGTCTAGAAGCCGTTGGGGCCAGGTCCAGGGTTTAACTCCAGTGAGTCTCATGACTTGGTCTTGACTCTTGAATCTGGATGTGTTTCCCCTGAACTAAATGTTAAGTCGCCTTCCAGCCTATCCGGGCAGAAGGACATCCCTCTCACCCCCGAAGTCTTGTGAAAATGTGGCCACAGCATAGCATTACAGTTTCCACTAAAGAAAGCCCTCCCATTTACTCAGCATTTGGCATGATTTCCTCTGAGCCATTCTCCTAGGAGGCTGGGAGGACACTCAAGCCTCCTCTGTTTAAAAGAATTTACAAGTCTTTGGAGACAGATTTTGATGACATTTGGGACTGGATCAGAAGGTAGGACACAGCAGTTCCTTTTGGCACAAGAAAGAGGCATCTGAGCGTTTGTGGAGACGTAACTGTTGTATATTCCCAAACACACACATGCCGGATGTTAGGCAGTGTCCTCAGGTGACCCACTCCGGGGAAGGATACTATGTGTCCTGCCAATTTCAGTATTTATTCTGGAATCCCAGGCTACTGCAAGCTGTTGGGATGGTGTTTTTTTTGTTTGTTTGTTTTGTTTGTTTTGTAGAGTATGTGATTTTTCTTAAATGTTAGAGCAATTTCAGAAAAGTCTTAATGAGGATGAGAAGGGCAGCAGAGTCTTGAAACCCACCGCTGCTCTTTCCTTGCCCTTTCTCTTCCTGTTCCGTGTTGACTTTCTGGGCTTGATTTTTGGGCAAAGGGGAAGCCCTGGAAAGAGTAAAATTCACGAAATTTGAATCCATGGATCTGGTTTCCATCCCTGGTTCACTGAACCCTTGCTGCAACCTTGAGAAATTACCTCCCATTTCTGACCCTATAAAATGAAAATCAAGAGATCCACACCACAGGGTTGTAGTTGGGAATAAAAATATGTATCAGTGCGCATTGTGTGTTGCTGAGGCTTACTCAGATGTGAGTCTCATCTCCTTCACCCAGGGCCATCCAGAAAGGACACACATGTATGTGCTGTTTCTTTCTTTCTCCTTCACATCAACCATTGCCTCCCAACACCCACAAAAACACTATCTCAATTACAAATTGAAATTATCTATCTTGTGATGTTTCCTGAATTGTAAGCACTGGAATATAGTGCTAGGAATATTACTTAAGCTGATTTTGGCTACAATTAGTAGAATACCTACATCTATCAAGACTCAATGGGGCCGGCGCCATGGCGCAGCAGGTTAACGCCCTGGCCTGAAGCGCCAGCATCCCATGTGGGCGCCAGTTCGAGACCTGGCTGCTCCACTTCCAATCCAGCTCTCTGCTATGGCCTGGGAAAGCAGAAGAAGATGGCCCAAGTACTTGGGCCCCTGCACTCACATGGGAAATCTGGAAGAAGCTCCTGGCTCCTGCCTTCAGATTGGCACAGCTCCGGCAGTTGCGGCCAATTTGGGAGTGGACCAGCAGATGGAAGATCTCTTTCTCTCTGCCTCTCCTCTCTCTATGTTACTCTGACTTGCAAATAAATAAATAAATCTTAAAAAAAAAAAAAAGACTCAATAAGAGGGGCTGGCACTGTGGCACAGCAGGTTAAAGCCCTGGCCTGAAGCACTGGCATCCCATATGGGCTCTGGTTCTAGTCCCGGCTGCTCCTCTTCCGATCCAGCTCTCTGCTATGGCCTGGGAAAGCAGTGGAAGATGGACCAAATCCTTGGGCTGCCCATGTGGGAGACCCAGAAGAAGCTCCTGGCTCCTGGCTTTGTATTGGCGCAGCTCTGGTCATTGCAGCCATTAGGGGAGTGAACCAGCAGATGGAAGACCTCTTACTCCCTCTCTTTCTTTCTCTCTCCCTCCCTCCCTTGCTCCCTCATTGCCTCCCCCCTCCCCTCCTCCTCCCTCCTTCTCTCTCTGTAACTCTGCCTTTCAAATAAGATAAATAAATCTTTTTTAAAAGAATAAGATGAGGGCATTTTAGCGAACATTTTAACCACTAGGCTAAATGCCCGCCCCCCAGATAGGATTATTTGAGGAGGATTTTATAAAGGGACTCTTTACAAAGATGTGACTTTGTAGCCAAATTAACGGACGCTTTATCAGCAGGGCTATTTGGATTTGGTTCCCAAAGAGGAAGGAGACTCCAGTAGAAAAAGCACCTTCAGAAATGAGTAGTAGGGGCCGGCGCTTTAGCTTGTGGAAGGTTAAACTGCCTGCAAGTCCCTGGACCCCTGCACCCATGTGGGAGACCTGGAAGAAGCTCCTGGCTTTGGTTTGGCCCAACCCTGGCCATTACGGCCATTTCGGCCATTTGGGGAATAAACCAGCAGATGGAAGATTTCTCTCTCTCTCTCTCTCTCTCTCTCTCTGCCTTTCAAATAAATAATTTTTTAAAAAAAGAAATGAGGAGTAACCTTCAGTCAGAGGGACACAGCTAACCTGAGGTGACCCTGCAGAAAGAGAGCTCGGAAGTAACACCATGTCCTCCATCTTTCCCTCTCCAGTCTCCTTCAAGGGCTTCCCATTAACCAAACCTGTGCAAGTCAGAAGAAAGGGCCTGTTAATGCAGTCCATAGATCAGGCCCTGGACCAGAGCAGGGTAGAGAAGCTGAAGATTGGACCTGCAGAGACAAATAGAAGATATCTAGCCCAACAATCCACTACCGGTGGTTTTATTGGTTGACTGGTTAAAGATTTATTATTTATTTGAAAATCAGAGTTATATAGAGAGAAGCAGGAAAGAGAAAGAGGGATCTTCTATCCATTGGTTCACTCTCCAAATGGCCACATTGGCTGGGACTAGACCAAGCCAAAGCCAGGATCCTGGAACTCCATCTGGCTCTCCCATGTGGATGCAAGGGCCCAAGGATTTGGGGCATCCTCTGTGGGCTTTCCCAGACACATTAGCAGAGAGCTGGATCAGAAGTGGAGCAGCCAGGACTTGAATTGGCACCTACATGGGATACTGGCATTGCAGGTGGTAGCTTAAGCCCCTGGCATGACCATGCCAGCCCCTATAGGTAATTTTTTTTTTTAATGCTGAATTATCTACTTGCTCTTTTGTTGCCTGTACTGTTTGTTTCATATCCAAGAAATCATTGCCAAATTCAATATCATGAAGCTTTCCTCCTGTGTTTTCTCTTTTAAAAAATTTATTTATTTGCAAAGCAGAGTTACAGAGAGGCAGAGAGAAAAGTCTTCCATCAGCTGGTTCACTCCCTAAATAGCCACAAGGGCTAGAGCTAGGCTGATCCAAAGCAAGGAGCCAGGAGCTTCTCTTCTGTGTCTCCCACACAGGGTGCAGGGGCCCAAGAACCTGGGCCATTTTCCACTGCTTTCCCAGGCCATAGTAGAGCTGGATCAAAAGTGGAGCAGCCAGGACTCAAACCAGCACCCATATGGGATGCCCGCACTGCAGACCAGGGCTTTACCCACTATGCCACAGCACCAGCCCCAGGTAGTTTTAAAAGTTGTGCCAGAAGCGTCCATTAAGCCTAGCCGTTATGATACCTGCAGCCTTTGTCAGAGTACCTGGGCTCCATACTTGACCCCAGCTCCTGACTCCAGCTTCATGATAATGTAGACCATGGGAGACAATGGTGATGGCTCAGGTGAAGGGGTTTCTGTCACCTACATGGAAGACCTTGATTGATTTCCTGGCTCCCAGCTTCAGAGTGGTGATTGCGGGCATTTGGAGGAGTG